ACACACACACACACACACGCTTTGTTGCCGCCTCTATTTACCGTGCAGTAACAGCCTCATGTAATAGCCTCTGGTTTTGTTTTCATTCTTCATAATGAGACAGCTCGATGCCCATCAGCGCAGAGGTGTGTGTGTGGGGGTAATTGGATGACACAGAGAGAACACAAACACACATACACACTCAAACGTATACACACAAACATACCTACCAAAAGCATAAAGACGCAAGCAGTCACAGTGTGTTCGATTCTGTAAACATGAGTGAAAATCAAATATGTTAACGAGGGGAATGAATGGCCCCAATGCATGACCCCCCCCCCCCACACACACACACAACACACACACACACGTACCCATGCCCTCTTCAGTGTGTTTATCACAGCACCCCACCCAGTCAGGGCCAAACACGACTGCCTTCGCCTGTCACCATGGCAACCCTTTCAACTCCCCTTGCAGTGACATCACCTTCGCTGTTAATCTGTTTTATACGACTGGATATTCACAGCGGAGCATTTACTTTCACTTGCAGCAGGAGAGACTCATGTAATATCAGTTTTAGTGCAGTTACTCACACACAGACACACACACACACACACACAAACACACACACACACAAATCTATATTCAACAGGAAGTTTTCCTTCTTGCTGGTTTTTATCCCTTGGTTGTAGTTTTTAATTGTTTTTAATAATATACATAATATCTTTTTACTGCAGGAATGTTTTCTCATTTTTGAGATAAGGCCCTCAACAACATGTAGTGTATGATATCCACATGGAGCACAACACTCCATGTGGATACCTGAGATCTTCCAGGTTTGACACTTAAATATCACCAACTTGTGACAACTTGCAACCAACTTTTTGTTTTTTTATTTATATATTAAATATTCATATATGTATATAGCTTAATAACTGTCTCAGCACATTTTCCTATAGTCGAGGGCAAAAGTTAGAAGTCTCATGTCAAGGTGAGTTTTAAACTCTCTCAAGCATTTCCTCATCTCAATAAGCAATGCCACACACCTCTTAACTTTCTTGCTGCCATTAAGTAAGAAAACACAATACATATTTCAAAAATTGTAATTCTGATAATTAAATCTACATATTACATTACTGACAACCACTGTTTCCAAGCAAAGCAGCCTGAAAGATATCTAGTGCTGATTTCTCCCTCTCCTTCCTACACACAAACATTAAACATTGTAGTATGTCAAAAATGAAGAATGTGATTTCATAAATGATTCAACCTAATGCATTTACATATCAAACTCTATAGTCCACCCCCACAGGAGCGTGCACATGCCTGCACACCGACACACACACACAATGTAAAGATGTTCCTGAGCTGCTATTAACACTGGTTTCCTCCCTCACATCTCTGAGCGGCTCTCTGATCTCCAGACTGCTGACCTGTCACGCTAACTGCATCAATTACCATTTATTTTATAAGGCAGGGTTCGGTGCACAGAGAGACGCTATCTTGTACAACAGAGTATTTGAGTATGGATTTCTTTTAAAGTTGTAGCGGCAAGCGCAGCAAAAAACTCTTCTTTGTTTCCAGGGAGCTTAATTAGTATGAACATGAGGTACAGTGACCTAGTAACAATTTATCTGCTCTGAGGAACAATTACTTTTTTCTGTTGATGAGAAAAAGAAGGGGAAATCAAAGTTGCCATTTATGTGTGATATTTATTAGCATGGAAGATTTTCAGCTCTTTTCAGTGGCAGAATCTTGAACAGTCGCTGAATTAAGACTGAACATGCAGGGATGAAACCTTCCATGTTGTTTCTACCATTAGAAACAAGCTAACAGTGGCTGAGAGCCAGTAGTGGAGGTCCATGTAAGTGCATGTGTGTGTCTGATCTTGTGCGTGAACATATGTGTGTGTGTGTGTGTGTGTGTGTGTGTGTGTGGTCTTCCAACTGCTGCAGTCCCCATCTGCGATGTGTATTAACTGGTGGATTTTCTTTGACGGTCATAAAAACCGCCTCATTACCCCAGTAGATTCTCCAACCATCTCCTGCATCATTACACACAGGCCTGCGGTAAAATAAATCAGCACTTTGAATTTATTTATTTACATTTTAAAGATTTTACAAGTGAGCAGGGGCATGTGTGCAACTGGGAAAGACACTTGTCACCTCTAAAAGGAACTTCCTGTGTTAAAATATGTATTACTGATGTGGATTCGGAGGCGTCTCGGGGTGCCGTGCAAGTTGAAAAACCTAATAATCAAGTAACTCGGGATTCATTTATCTTCATCATTGCTTTTGCTCCATTAAATACACAGTGATTTATCTTCTTTGTCTGTTTAAACACCACTTCACTGCCACGTTTTGAAGCTGTAGCCAAATTAAAACTGCCTTGAGGATCGGCAGCATGTGGAGATGTATGTTCCACAAGATGCACGCTCAACGCTCATCTGCTGACATTTACAGCTAAACCCACACGTTAAGTGAAAATCAACACTGCCGTCTGTTTGGCAGGGGAGCTGTGGCTTCAGGGGAGGACGGATAAGAGGGGGTAGGACGAGGACGTGAGACAGAAGAGTTTATGTTGTTGACTCACACCTTTCACTAACGTCTATATAAGATGTAATCGATGGACTTTTGATTAACAGCCGGCCTTTTGTTTCTTTTATGCCTTCTTGCTGAAACAGATGATAAAATTGAAACTACCTCTCACATCCTCGTGACAAATATGAATTTTCTTTTAATATCTGAGTTATGTGTCAGACTATCACAGGTAACTTCCTGCCGTCTCTGCTGGTTACCTGGCGACTGCAATGGTCCCACCATAGTCCCACCAAGGTTTTAGTCAGCTTTTAGTTAAGCTCATCAGCTGTTCCCACCAGTTTCACTATACTGTGATGAGCAAAGTAGTTTATGGCTGAAGCTTTATATTTCACAGACAGATATTAGATGGGTATAGATATTATCATCATGTCCTCTGGTAAAAAAAAAGGAAATAAGCATATTACACAAACTATTCGATCTTGGTGTTTATTTACGAAAGCTGTTTAAAATAATGCATCATAAAAGGGGAGTTATCTCACAAACTATTGTGTTTCATTTCATCTGGACTTGAAACTTATCAAAGTGAAGCTGCTCTCCAATTCTGTCTCAGCGATTCTTCCTCGTAATCACTTCCTGTCTGCCTCTTCGTTCCTTCACCCACATATTGTTCACTCTGTCAGGAAAACACTCTCTCACAATGTGTGTGTATGTGATTTAAGCCATGATTTGCTGTACTTTCTATAGTCCTCTGAGGCCGGCTGTCACTGCTGTGTTCTTTAATCCTGTAACAAGACCTCTGGGATACTGAAACACACACACACACACACACACACACACACACACACACACAGGGCTGCACAGCTATGCTTATCAGGACTTTTCATTGACTTCCATTCATTGTGATGAATGATGAAGCAGTGATACCAGCGGCTGAGTCCGGTGATATCACCTCATGCTCATCACTGACACTGCAGCTTCTGTTTATATTTAGCTTCTTCTACAGACCCGATACACAAAACATCTGATATGCTTTGACTGGTATCGTTACAGTCGTCAATACTGTAAGTTCATCAGACGATAGCTGATGGACTCCGAGGTTGCACTCTTCTGTTTGATGGCGCTATTCAAATAAAGTTTATTAATATTATTATTACTTTCGAAACCTTTTCAATGGTTTATCACAAAGTAAAAAACTACGTTAACAGGAAAACTATGGAAATTCAATGTGTCAGATTTGTGATTACAACTTGTAGCTGCTGTTATATAGTTCTACCTTTGCCCAGCCTGTTTACTATCACTGGTTTTAACTCTGTACTACTAAAGAGCAACTTAACGTCTCCATAGAAGTCCATACAAATTCATCGTGGATCCACACATCACCACCCTGCTGCCTCCA